CAAGATCATGTATATGTACATCACATTAAAATTTAAGTTCGAATATGAAGGGTAACTCTCTTAAGCAAGACAAAGTCAAAACAAACATTTTATAAAATTAAAATATAGTAGAATAATGAAAAAAATTACAAATAAATATTAAATGGTGTTCTTAAATGATGAAAGTTTAAAAACGAGGCTAAGGACAAACATATGTAAAAACACATAAAAATTTCAGATTAAAACAATTTAAGTAGGCTCGTCAAATGAATAAAACCTAGTAAGCATAATATTAAAATTCTACCAATTTTATCCCTTAAATCTAGCCACATTAGGGACATAATTGCAAGAAGACCTTGTTATTTACTACCAAAATAAAAAGAATCTATAACCGTAAGGATCATAACTCTAAAGAAAGCTATCATATTCGGTTTGAACATGAACTGGAATTCGTTCGTGGCGACTCAAGCCAAAAAAAAAAAAAAAAAAGTTCCTCGATCCTACCTAGGATTTATTCAAATTTTAACTCTAAGAAAGTCCATTTCCTCTTTGATATGGGTATGAACTTTAAACTAAACAAATTCTCCTTTCTCTTTGCTTTCCATTCACTTTTTTGTACTCAAAACAAACATTTTCTTTAACTCTGTAAACCACAACAATGTAAAAGAAACACAACAACCAATATATAACACTTAAAAGATGAATGCAAAGGATTGAGTTAGGAATTTCATACATGTTGTGAGGTAAGATTATGCATGCATGTGAAAGTTTTAAATATAATTTGGCAAATCAATAAGACAAAATTTTCATCATTATGAACACCACAATCAACAATTATGCAAAATAAAAAACATAAATTCATCATACTCACAAATCTTAAAACGTCATGATTTTTCACATAATTTAAAAGAAAACATACTTTGATTCATATTTAGACCTTGATTCATACTTAAACCTTGATCAATAATATGAAGTAGATAATATGTAAAATATGGTTTCTCTCTTTTGATCTCTCACTTAATGATGAAAATTGAAATCCTTAGTTTTTCTTTTGTTCTATAAGTTTCATTGAGAGCCAAAGAGAGGACCTACTCCTCCTTTTATAGTCTTCACCCAAGTCTCCCATCAAGACTTGTACATGGATTATTATTAATTACATGTATCATAATTGATTAGGTACACTTTAATTATACATGTATTGTTATTAATTATATGTATCTTATTTAATTAGATACACTTTAACTATACATGTATCATAATTACATATATACATATATCAAATTAATATATATATATATATCTTAATTAATTAGATGTACTTTAAATATAATGCACAATATGATTCACATTCAATTTAGATATATGTATTATGTATTATTATAAATACATTTATCAAGTGGATCATAATTAATCTTACATTCTCCCACTTGACCTATATGACATTTACTTTATGATTTAACACAATGTGTAAAATTGATGATCATCATCATAATGTTATATCATTATTAAATTGAAATATTAATGCGAGTCATGGCAATTGTATGTCATTTCCTTGACATAGTCTCTTCCGTGTACCACAACACTAAGTTTTAACTTAACATGATCTTTAATGAGGATAATAATGATCGAAATTTAATGTCTTTATTGTAAGACAACTTATGTTAACATTATTCCAAAGCTATTACATATACAAAATAGAAAATAAGAAATATTAGAAACATATAGGTGAGCATAGGGTGTCACATACATAAACTTAATAAGAACTTAATACAATATCACTAATGACATCTAATAATGCCCATCCTTTCAACATGCTTATTAAATGTTTTAGGCATTAATCCTTTAGTCAAAGGATATGCAATCATAAGATTGGTGCTAATATGCTCAATTGACACTCTTTTTTATAAACTTCTTCTTTAACGATAAAGTATTTGATTTTCATATGTTTAGCACCCTTAGAATACTTATCGTTTTTAGAGAAGAAAAGCTGTTATGGAGTTATCACAATAAATTTCAATGGCCTAGTAATACTGTCGACAATCCTAAGTCATGAAATAAAGGTTTGTAACCATAATCCATGAATGGTGGCCTCAAAGCATGCCACGAACTCGGCTTTCATAGCGGATGCAACAATGATAGACCGTTCCGCACTCTTCTATGAAATTGCTCCTCTAGATAATAAGAAAAAGTACCCAAACCAAATTTGGATTTTTTGGAATCAAAACGTCCAATAAAATCTGAATACGAATATGCAATCACCTCTTGATGATCGGATCTTTTATAAGTGAGTCCGTGATCCTTCATTCCTTGCAAGTATCTAAGAACTTTCTTTGTAGCTTTCCGAGTGATCTATACCGGGATTACTTCAATATCTACCCAACATTTTGACAGGAAAACTAATGTTTGGCCTAGTAAAAGTCTTGGCATACATTAAACTTCCAACAAAAAATGTATAAGGAATATTTTTCATTTGCTCTCGTTCCAATTCTTTTTTAGACATTTCATAAGGTTAAATTTATCTCCCTTTTGAATTAGAACTATCCTCGCTAAGTATTTATCCATTTTAAATCTCTTTAGAATTTTATTAATATAGGCTTTACGAGGCTATCTTAACAATCCTTGTGATATATCATAGAATATTTCTATTCCAATCATATAGATTGCCTCTCTCATATCTTTCATTTTAAAATTTATATAGACATACTTCTTGGTTTCATATAACAAACCAAGGTCATTAGTAGCAAGTAAAATATCATCAACATACGTAACTAGAAAAATAAACTTGCTCCTACAAATCTTCATATATATACACCAATAAAAAATATTTTCTTGAAATCTAAAAGAAGTGATAATATCACTAAACTTAAGATACCACTTTTTGGAAGCTTGTTTAAGTCTATATATTGATTTCTTTAATCTACACATCATGTGCTCCTTTTCTTTAATTGAAAAGCCCTCGGGTTGGTCCACATAAACTTCTTCTTCCAAATTTACACTAAGAAAGGTAGTTTTAACGAGTCATTTGGTGTAACTCCAAATCACAATGAGCCACCAAAGCTATGATTATTCTAAGGAAATCTTTTTGGAGACCGATGAAAAAGTCTTTTTATAATCAATGCCATCTTTTTAAGTAAAACCTTTAGCAACAAGTCCGGCTTTATATCGTTAATATTGCCATTTGAGTCACATTTTGTCTTAAACACCCATTTACATCCAATCTTTTTACATCCTTCGGGCAATTTAACGAGATCCTAAACTTGATTTGATCTACTGATTTTAACTCTTCATTCATGGCTCTTATCCACTTAGTTGAATCATCACATTCCATGGCTTGTGCAAAGGAAACTGGATCATTATCAATTCCAAAGTCAATTTCGATCTTATAGATAAACCACGTAGTCATTGGAAATGGTAGATCTCTTTTTCTCCGAGATCTTCTTAATGTTATTTCTTATGGTTCTACTATTACTAGTTCATTGTTGATGATTTCATTTTAGAGAGTTTGATCATTTATTTTTTATTCTTGACCTTCGTTGGATTGAACTATACTTTTAGGAATAACACTTGGAGAAGCTTCGGGAATAAGAATTTCCACCCTAACTTCTTGAATGCTAACATCATGCATTCTCTCACTCCTACTAATTTCATCATTTTCAATGAACTCCGGCATTTCTAGATTTGACAATTCTTGTACCATGATTAGGATAATAAAATCTATACCCTTTGGACTTTTTTGGATATCCAATGAAATAACCATTGGTTGTTCTAAAGTCCAATTTCTTTTCATATGGATTATAAATTCTTACTTCTACTAGACAACCCTAAACATATAGGTGCCTTAAATTAGGTTTCCTTCGTCCAAAGCTTAAAAGAAGTCTTTAGACCTCGCTTTCCTAGGAACTCTATTTAGCTAATACATGGTAGTCCTTAATGCATACATCCACAAAGATAAGGGTAAAGATGAATGACTCATCATACTCATAACCATTTATGTTAAAGTACGTTTTCACCTTTCTGCTACACCATTTTGATATGGTGTACTTGGCATTATGTATTGAGTATAAATGCCATGTCTTTCAAGAAATTTGGTAAAATGACATGGACATTGTCTTGATTCTCATACCTTTCATAATTCTCCACCTTTATTTGACCTTATAATTTTTACCTTTTTTTTTTTTATCTAATTTCCTCTCAACTTCTTTAATATAAACCTCTAGTTCATTAATTAATTGAGATTTATCATGCAATAGATAAATATAATCATAATGTGAAAAATCATTAATAATAGTGATAAAAGTTTTCTTTCCATCAAAAGATGAAGCGTCAAAAGGTTCACATATATCAGTGTGTATAATTTCAAGAAGCTATGTGCTTCTTATGGCTCCTTTCTTAGAGTGTTTTGTTTGTTTTTCTTTAATACAATCAATACACATTCCAAAATCAATAAAATCCAAATTTGGAAGAATTTCATTCTTTACTAATCTTTGCTTACTTTGTTTGGATATATGACACAAACATTTATGCCACAAGAAAGTAGAATTCTCATCAACTAAACTCGCATTTAGTACCAATATTATGATGCAAAGTCATTAAGGTCTTAATTAAAACATTATCAAGTCTACATTTGTAAAGATCATCACATAATATTCCAAAAATAATAAGATTATTATTCTTAAATAAATTAAAAGATCAAGAACCGGACTTAAAACCAAACCCCGCTACATCAAGTTTTGATAAAAAGCTAAATTGGGAGAAAATATGGGTACATAAAGGATATGAAACAAATCAAAGTGATATCTAGTATCTAAAATTAAATGATAAGTAACAATACCTTCAACTGGAACTTTGTTTCAATTTCCCAAGAACAAAAAACATTGATTTGCTTTTATGGTTTGGATCGAAAGGAATCCCCGCATTGTATTAGAAATATGGGTAATGGAATAGAATCAATCCACCAAGTATTATGAGAAACTTTAGTAAAGTTTGATTCAAAATATACTAAAAAGCATAATAATGCTTACCTTTCTTTTCAAACCAAGCTTTACGTTTCATGCATCCTTTCTTTAAATGCCTAACTTTTAAGCGAACTTTCAAAGACTCATTCGAGTTGAGTAAACCTTTCTTCTTGCTCTTTTCACCTTTCTTTTTAGAATTCTTTTCAACTCCTTGATGACTTAAGAAATAAGTCTGAATGAGCTCTATGATTCTTTAACCTTGTCTCCTTTTGAACAAGTATACTAGTCAATTCATTTACACTCTACTTATCTTTTATAATATTGTAGTTCATTTGGAATGGGATATTGCTCATGAGGCAAAAAGTTAATTATAAACCGTACTAAGAAGTACTCATCAACATTCATTCCCAAGTTTTTTAATTTTGCTGCTAAGGTCCTCATCTCAAGAACATGCTCATGCATGGTACATGAACAATCATATTTCATGGTGGTTAAAGTACTCATTAATGTACTAGTAAGAGACTTATCAATATTTTGAGAGTGTTTTTCTACAAGTTTTTTAAATTCCTTAGCACTATCAGTTTTATGAAAAGTACACTCTATATTGTTTGCCACTATCATTCGCTTAGATGTTAAACTTAATCTATTTGATCTTTCCCTAGCTTGATGGAAAGCCCTTTCATCGACATTACTCTCATTAGTAATATCGGCAGGCATATCATCTTGAAGTACTAAATCAAGACCCGTAACACCTAAGTAAAATTGGACTTGTTCCCACCAATCAGTGAAATTTAATCCATTAAATGTACGAATAGAGGAAGTGTATGAATGAAGTGAAATAGATACATATATTGCAAATAAGATACTCTTATATTAATACTTTGAGTCATAAATTCAGATTCAAACATATAAACATAAGGTACATCAAAATTTTCCTTTGGGTGATACTAAGATATACAAACATAAATGATAATTGGTAATAATATATGTACTAAATAGCTCTATTTTGCTATCTTTGGATATGCAAAGCAAAACAAATAGAACATAATAATCACAACAATTATGTTTGTCAATTATAAGAACAATTAATCAACCATTGGGTTAATCTCGAAATGTCTTATATAAACAAACTTCAATTAGCCCACAAACAAACATAATTATATAACTTAATTTCATTTAAAACTTTAAGGTTTATGGGTAATTGAAAATAATTTACAATCTAAAATTTATTCATTTTAAGATTTTGCCACTTTGGTGACTAACAAATCATTCTTAATATATATTTTTCAATTTGCAAATATAATACTTAAGAATTTTAATGACATATATACTAGAGTATGGAAAAAATCTAATATTTCATAATAATAAATTTATAATTTGAATTCTAAAATAAAAAATAAGAGAGAAATCCATACTCTTAAATGGAAAAACATTAGTTCCTAAACCAGGCTCGATACCATATGAAAGTTTAAAATGTAATTTGAAAAATCAATTAGATAAAAGTTTCATCATCCCGAACACCATAATCAACAATTATGAGAAATAAAAGACATAAATCCATCATATCCATAAATCTTAGAACTTCATGATTTTTCACATAATTTAAAATAAAACATACCTTGATTCATGTTTAGACCTTGATTCATGCTTACACCTTGATCAATGCTATGAAGTAGATAATATGTAAAGAATAGTTTCTCTCTTTTGATCTCTCACTTAATGATGAAAATTGATATCCTTAGTTTTTTTTTTTTTTATTCTGAAATTTTTATCGAGAGTCAAAGAGAGGACCAACTCCTCCTTTTATAGTTTTAGCCCAAGTCTCCCATTAGGACTTGTACATGTATTATTATTAATTACATGTATCATAATTAATGAAGTACATTTATCATAATTGATTAGGTACACTCTAATTATACATGTATTATCATTAATTATATGTATCTTAATTAATTAGATATACTTTAAATATAATGTACAATGTGATTCACAATTAATTATATATTTTAGATACATGTATCATGGATCATTCTAGATACATTTATCATATGGGCCATAATTAATCTTACAACATGATGAGAACACTATGAATCTTGGATTGCTATTGCTTCCCTCTATGCTCTCAATTTTTATCCTTTGCTTTTGGTCACCTTCGTTTTTCATAAAACCCCGGAGAACTATCAAACCATTCTCCCTTCTTCTCTTTACCCAAGAACTAACTAGCCCTCAAAACTACTATCATTTCTTTCCTTATTTGTTTTATTATTTTCAAAATAGAGAGTTTCTCTTCAAAAACCTAAAAACTTAAATCCTCTCCAACCCTAGCCTCCTTCTCTATTTTGATAAACTTCCATTTATTTACTACCTTCCATTCATTCTCTATCCTAGGATCATTTTAAATCATCCTAACTTTCCATCTATGAGAGTACTAAGTTGCTCTCTCGTTAAGTTTTTTTTTTCTTACCGTTATTTTATTACTATTATTATTTTGCAACATAGAGCATGGAGGGAATTAAGGGATGAAGGACAAGACATGGCTTGGAGTTTTGTTTTGGTGCTAAGGGAGAGTTTAGTATAAGGCCAGCTTATTGAAGGAAAGAAAATCCAAAACCAAATACTAGCTCCTTGCCCTCGTTTGTTTTTTCTTCATTTTTTCATGCGAGTCCGTCCAAAGGAAAAAGAAGAATAGTGCCTAATGGGATTTTGAAAGATGGTGATGACGAGTCGTCTAGCAAAAATATTTAAGTTCATCGTGTCACCCGTGCATCCCTTCCATTATCGACCTTATGTGCTTTGATTTCTTTTCAATCGGATCCCCCGATTAAAGCATTTTGGTCCCACTCGGTTCTAATTTCTACAAATGGACACCTTATTTTCCTTTATTGTTTCCCAAAGCTCTTGATATTTCCAAATTGATCCACAATACGTTCAAAATAATCATAATTAAAGCCCTTAATAAAAATCAAAAATTAATTCCTTTTTTTAAAAAAAATTTTTTCAATATTTTTTGTTTCATTCTTTTTTTTAATGAAAAAATGATAAATATAATTAATCCAAAAATTAGAAGCTAATGATAAAAAAACTAACAATAAAGATTAAAAAAAAATTCATAGGAAACCTACTCTATGTAAACAAAAAGAAATTTGTAAAAATGTTTAAAATAATTATGGAGGTCAAAATTGAATCATGATAACTCGCCTTCTCTTTACACCGTTTATGACATAAATTTAAATAAAAAAATATCTTTCATTGACTTTGCATAATAAGCTTGTAAAGAAATGAGTTTTTGGACAATAACATCGGTCTAGTTGTTCTTGATGACTTGTCCTTTTAGTCATATTTCATGGGTGATCGACCTTTTTAGTTGATATTGTTTTCAAATGCGACCTACCATATTAGTCATATCCTCATGGGAGACCAACTCTTCTTAATTGCCTTGTTCTTAAGGAAGACTTGCCTTATAGATCATATTCTCATGGGTGATTGACATTTTTTTGATGGTCTTTTTCTTAAGGACGATCGGCCATATTAATCATATTCTCATAGACAATCGACTTTTTTTTTAAAAAAAGAAACTCGTCATAATAGTCATATTCTCATGGACAATCGTTCCTTTTTTATGGACTTGTTCTCAAGGAAAACCTATTGTAATGGTCATATTCTCATTGGCAATCGACACTTTTTTATTTTCTTGTTCTCGAGAGCGACCTACCCTAATGGTCTTATTCTTATAGGAGACTAACACTTTTTGATGGTCATGGTCTCAAGGATGACTCGTCCTAATAGTCATATTCTTATAGGCAATCGGCCCTTTTTGATAGTATTATTCTTAAGGAGAAAAAACAATCGGAAGAGCCATGTTAAAAAAAAAAAAATTAAGAGTAGAGGGAGGTGATGAATAAAAAAATACAGAGGCCACATTAAAAAAATCAAAAAAGTAGAGGGATATTTTATGTGATTAAACCAATTTTAATTGTTGAATAGTCCCAAGAGTTTCTTTTGTAGTTTTATCTCATTTTAATTATGCCTCTAAAAACTTGAAGAAAGTTATTTAAAAAAATCATCTCAATCGAAAATTTTAAATTGTTAGGTAAGGTTTCAAGATATGATTTATATTATTCTCTCGATACACTATCTTAAATTAAAAATTTTTGAGTTTAAAATTTACATAAACTCACACTACTTTGTGTTATTATATTTTTAATTAGAAAATAAGTGAGATTCAAATTTATGACTAATTTGATTAGTAAGCTTCTTATATAATGTCAAAAAAATCATCCAAATTCAAAAATTTAAACCTTTAAATAAGATTTTATTATATGATTTATTTATTATCTAATAAAAAAAGGATTTTGGTTCATACATTGTTCATGAATGCAAAAGAAATGACTCATTATAGTCTATAATTAGCCTACATTATGAACCTCTAAAATCTACATATCTCAACTCCTTATTTCCATAATGGCATTATGAGAAAGTCTTTTTATCCAATATGGGTGATCGTTTAACATCCAAACTACCTGTTCTTAGAAAAATATTGATTTATATTCAATAAAGAAAGATTTATTTATGAAACACAATGTTTTCATAATGTATTTGTTTCATGGATGTCTCAATAATAATTTTATTTATTTTTATATTTTGCAAAAGTGAGCACTACTAAAGTAAATTAAGATCTGTTTCTTGTGTTACTAGAAGTGGCTTGCGATTTGAAATTTTAAATAAGAAAGAAGTTGATATGGGGAAGGCATCACATAATACTTTTAACTCCAAACGGACCATTTTTTCTTACCCTAACCGGGCCCAATTCCACTCCCTCAAAAGATACCTTCTTCTTCTTCTTCACCGAGTCGAAGAAGTTCGGTGGCTCATCTATTATGATTGGCTCAAGAGATTTTGCACTCTATGCATAAGAAAAAGGGCAAGAAAGGGTGGATGGCCATTAAGATAAATCTTGAAAAAGCTTATGATAGGCTTTGCTAGGATTTTGTGCTTGGAATCTTTCATTGGATGTGGGGATACCCCATGCTTTATGTTTAGTGATCATGAAATGTCTTTCCTCGGTGAAACCGGAGATTTTCTTTAATAGGATAACTATAGAAAATTTTTGTCCTTTTAGAGGTATCAAATAAGAAGATCTCGTTATCCCCTTACCTTTTTGTGATTTGTATGGAACGACTAAGTCACCTAATCTAAGGAGCGATTAGGGATAAGAAATGGAAACCGATATAGCTCGGTAAGGATGGACCTCCCATTTCTCATATGTTCTTTGTTGATGACTTGATTCTTTATACGAGAGGTTGATAGTGTTCGGGTAAATACTATCCATACTACTCTTGACAAGTTTTGCTTATCTTCGAGTCAAAAGGTGAATGTGGCCAAAACAAGATTATTCCGTAGTCATAATGTCCCTAGAAATAAGGCTAAAATGCTTGGTCCACAATTTAAGTTCATGTTAACGAGAGGATTTAGGGAGTTACTCGGGGATTCCTTTACATCATAGTCGGGTTGATAAAAACACCTATGCATATGTAGTTGATAGGGTTTACCAAAGGTTATTAGGTTGGAAGGCTAAACATCTATCACTTATAGGTAGAGTTACACTTACCCGATCCGTGTTGGGAGCCATTCCTATTTATGGTAAGCAATCCATCAAGTTGCTCACAATAATAACTAAGGGCATTGAGAGAATATGTAGGGATTTTGTTTGGGGCAACTCGGATAAGCACCGTAGAGTACACTTGGTCTTTTGAGAGAGAGTTTATCGACGTAAGCAAGCTAGTGGTCTTGGCTTAAAACATATGTTTGAAATGAACAATGTGTTACTCGGGAAATTAGGTTGGGAGATTATCTCAAATAACTCATCTTTATGGGTGAAGATAGTTTACGGTAAGTATAAGATTGAAACTCTTTCAACACCCCTCTCCATCTCTCAAAGAAATGTTCAAACCTTTGTAGGAGCTTAGCTAAAGTCTAGAATGAATTGTGCAAAGGCATCCCCTAGTTTCTTGGTAAAGGGAGAAATTTTAGTTTACGGACAGAGGCATGGATTCCAAATCGAGTGAGACTTATAGATCAACTTGGGTAACTATTCCTACTAATTTGATTAATGAGTTAATCAAGGATTATATCACAAGTAATCGACAATAGAGGTGGGACAAATTTAGCGAGTTTTTTCCATCCTTAACTTGCATGATGATAGCGAGGATTCAACCACCAGTAGATAGTCAATAGGAAGACAGATCCTTGTTAGGCACTAACTAGTATTGAGATGTTTTTCCATAAGGTTAGCTTATAATATTATTAGTTTTTCTACAAGCATTCCAGTGGAGAAATGGAAACCGATTTGGTAATGGAAGGGCCCTTAACGCATCCGTACTTTTTTATGGTTAACTATTCATGGACAACTACTCACCAACATGCAAAGAGTGAGGAGAGGCTTGGCTACCGACCCTTTCTACCCTCGTTCTCATGGAATTCAAGAAATGATGATCCGTATCTTATGTGATTGTTCTATGGAATCCAAGCTTTGGTAAGAGGTTGGGGCAAATAGTATGATTGATGGTTTCTTTACAATGGATCTTAAGGAATGGGTATGGTTTAATCCGAAACTAACCAAGTCGGCACATGCTAGATCAATCTCTTGGAGTACTTGGTATGGAGTGTGCTATTGGTTTTTATGGATTTGGCAAAACAAGAGCATTTTTTATGTTGGTTTTATCATGCCTTACGATCCGTTGGTGATTATTTATGCTTTTATTAAAATGTTATGTCTAGTATGAACATGGTCGCCTTCTTATCCGAGTCGTCTCCTCCAAAAGTAGAAGCCTTGATTAGCTGGACTAGACCTCCTTTAGGGTGGGCTAAACTTAACATAAATAGAGCTTTGAGAAAGTCGGGGGTATTGCTATAGTCGACGATGTCCTTCGGGATGCACAAGGTATTGAGTTGCATGGTTTTTCCTATCAAATTGGGATATGTTTGGTACTCGTGTGTAAAACTATGGGGCACGCCGATTGGTTTGGAAATGGCATGGAATTTGGGCTATCAATGGATTTTGTTGGAATCTAACTCCTTGGTAGCGAGTATAGTTAATTCGGGATCCAATTGGTCATTATGGAAACTACGGACAACTAGTCTCCTCCATTTGCGGAATCCTTTAAAGGCCTTAGCGAGTCCGTATCGATTACACCTATAAGGAATCTAACCGTTTGGCGGATTGGCTTGCTCCATATGCTTACTCTCTTATGAGAGGAATTTTGTATTTTGAGAATACCCTATTAGGGTGTATTGGCCTTATCTTGGAGGATATATGTGGTGTAGCCTCAAGATTTTGCAACTCTCATCCTAATGCTTAGAGATTTTCTCTCCATTATAACAAAATAATAATAATAATAAGAATAATAATACTTGCATCTTCTCAACCTAATGCACATTATGAAAAATAAAGAATAAAAAAATTATACGATTATAAGTAAATGAGAGAAAAACAACTCTATATGTTAAGTAAAATAAAATGTTATAGATGAATTAGTTTCATAATCGAATACTTTATTTTCTATAATTTATAACCAAAACGTTGTACTCGTAATTAATAACTTCAAGTCACTTGATACGACACCATTTATAGCTAAAAGAGATAATCATCCAATCATTTGATGACATATAAGTGAACGGAGCATGACCCATATGCGAAGAAAACGTTTGCTAATGGAAAAATGGTGTTTTACTAAATATTTCTTATTAAATGTGAATGCATGCATATTACTATTACTATCACTCTGTCGAGTTAGGAGTAAAGTGAAAGGAAGCATAACGAACCAACTCAAATGCCAAAGGAAATGCTTGTCTTAGAGTTGCCATTACTCATGTTTGAAAGAAGTGTGAAATAGATAACAACAGAGTATGCTAATTTTTTCAAAAAGAATTAAATGTACCCATTATATATATGTAGGAAATTCACGGCCTTTGAGCTATACAATAACAAGTAGTTCTCTTCTATTATATTATACGGAAAACTAAAAAAACTAGGGTATTTGAAAAGTGTTACTGTTCATTTATTGTACCAGCTTTTTTTTATTTGCTTTTTTCCGGGTTGAACAACAACCGGGCCCGGCACCCGAGTACGTGCAACTGAGCCCGAGCCCGGCATTTAATGAGGCAGCTGGATAGAGAAATTGTCCGATTGCTTGGCCTTGAAATACGAGCATTTCTAAGTCTACGATTAACCTCCGTTTAATAGTAACAAAAATGACAAGTTGTTATAAGTTATAACTAGCGGTATGCTTCGCGTTGTGAAGGTAATGTAATTTTGATTGTTCGATTGTTTAATGATTTAACTAAGTTATGGCAATTTTATTTTTGTCTTGCCGTAATCATTATAATTATATTTATTATATGTATTATGTTTAAATATGAATAGTAATGATCTCATACTCATAAAAAATATTTAACCAAAATTTTATAGAGTTCTTTTTTCCAACTTAGTATAAATGTTTAATTTCTTTTTTAATTGCTTGAAATAGAATTTTTTAAAAATTCTATTTTAAAATTAACATTTTAATTACTCGTTATATTGTATCACTTGATTTTTTAATTTTGTTAATAAAAATGGCTTAATTGAAATGAAATAAGGGTTCAAATAATATATATTTCAATTACTATACCATCATAAACTTTTGAACAACTTGAAGAAGTTTGATGTGAGTTGATTTAAGAGATGGTTTCCTTGATTTTTTTATTTTTATATCTTATCCAAATATATATATATATATATATATATATATATATATATATATATATATATATAGAGAGAGAGAGAGAGAGAGAGAGAGAGAGAGAGAGAGAGCTAAAAGTATGTTTTAGATAGTTTGACTTAATTTTTTCTAAAAAAAAAAATTTATTTTATTTTTTATTTATATTTATTTAGAATTTATCGAACTAATTTTTTTTTATAGTTTTTATTTTAATATATTGAATCCAATATATTTCATACAATTTAAGTGGATTTTTTTAATATATATTTTTATTTATTCTATATACTTCGAATATGTTAAGTATGTATGTGTGTGTGTGTATCATTAGTTTTATTAGAAATTAACTATATATCCGCACCCATAATACTAATTATTTGTTATTTACTTTTTCATATTCTATTTTTTTAAAAAAATAAAATAAGTTAGATAATGTTTTGAAAGAACCTCCTAATTATTCAAATACAAATTTCTATCCTAATATTGTTAAATATTTTGTTAATAAATATATATAAATAAAAAAATTTCGCTCAATATATAGATTCGATTTACATTAATCACCGTAAATAAAACTTCTATTCGCATTACACCATACAAATCGTTAACCTTATGTATGTAACAATTGTTTAATCCCGAGTGAAGCGTAGTTATCTAACTAGTAATTAGTAAAAGAACATAGTCACTAGAACTTGTACTTTACTTTATTAGAAAAGCTAACTAGATATAAAATGGGTCCTATTAAGTTTGTTTGTATCAAATTATTTGGATCCAATTATTATACAACATCTTATTGCTAGCTTTTCTTTTTCCTGTCAAAAGAATATATAAAGAAATTGTTGTTTATCTCTCTTCAAACATTGCTTTATCTACTCTTACATATATTGATACGAGTCAAACACCAAATCAAAAGGTTGGTTAAGTCTCTCTTCTTTTTTGTTTTTTTTTTCTTTTTCTTATTGAAAGATTTATGGATATGCATAAATAAAACAATTATTACTATTGAATCAGTCTAAATTGCTAGAAAAAAAATCCTAAAATTAGTCACTTGGATTATACAAATAGCATTGGTTGTGCTTATGGAATTAGCCTAGATTGTAGCCAACCTAAGAAAAATCAGCCAAAATCTGAATCTCATACTCTTTAATACCTA